GGTAACCATGGAATTATACAGACTGACAATAAGATAGGCAAGGATAAACGGTAAATTCAACAAGATTTGTTGACGAAATGTCAACCTGTTCTCATAACCTCGAATATTGGTGTTTAAAAATGAACCATACAACACCAAACAAGCTAGTGCCTGTGTAATCTCCTTATTATCCACTATTATCAAGCAGCTTCTCGTATTTAGTTAATTAACTCCTGCTCCATTTGTATCTCCTTATGCTGTGTGTATCGTACAAACGTGGTAAGAACGTAGCCCTTCCTCGGTATTTATTTGGTGCTTCGAGATGTGTCAGTTATTGTGCTCTGAGTGCCCCTGGAAGGCCCTGATTCGGTTATGTCCAATACGTGTTCCTCTGTGCCTGGAACCCGAAAATCGATTGTCGTCCACTACCTTCCTGGAACCACTCTCCTCGTCCTTTGTTGGCGTGAGTTCTTTCAGCTTCTGCTATGTTACTGTAGCATTTCTCCTGAACTAATCACATATCCGCAAATTATTGTTATGATTGACAAGGGCTACCCACCTGTAACTATCTGTTAATGACAAAAGACATCATTGCCGCTGTGCCTTTTCAACAATAAATTGTAGAAGAGAACTTTTTTGATATCAAAAATTTTCGTAGTTTGAAGCAAATATCATAATTTTTCTTTTTGAATGCTTAAGTATTCCAATATGCTACCAATTAAACATGGAACCATTTCAAAATAATGTTTAATAACAAAGTTGAAATTCGATCTTCAACTGTTAATATCTTTTAGAAATTTTCGAAAAAAAAAGTTCAATATTTTTCTCGTACTCCCCAAGGGAGCCTCTATCACCTCTTAGAGGAAAGGAATGACGCCAATTTTGAATCACCCTGTATGATATTTTGCCAGGGTTAACAGTAGTAATTGGTTCATCACATTCATATGATAATCTATATCAGTCTAATAAGTCTTAGTTTATTGTAGAAAAATGCAAATATGACATTATGCCATACGTCAAAAATGGCAGGTGACGTTTAAAAAATACGAGCTTTTGGATGTAATTTTTCGAAACTAAGTCCAACTAATGAAGACTAATCGGTCTGAAACCGGTCATGAGACCTTATTTTTTCCGGAATTAACCATTAACCGAAATTAACAAAGAGACTAGCTTTTGTTCGTATTTTGTAGGGCAAAGTCGTTTCTACAAATGTGAAAAGTTTCTGTTTTCAGTCATCATCAGTAAGCCTGGGTAACACTGTGTTGAGTTGCGCTTTTGAGTTATTGCCGCTTTCTGGGCTAATGAGTTATAACGCACGCACTCTCCCAACTCCTGAAACGTCACTAAGTTACCCAGGCTTAAATTACAGTATTTTTGGCTCTAAACCACTGTCGTGCCCGAAGGGTTTGCTACAACTTCGACTTGACTTTTAAATGAATTTGGTTGGGCACAGTCCGTTTTATAAGTTGCAGAAGTTTTGATTCTGTAATAAATCTTTATAACATATAATATAATCAACCATCCGCCAATTTTTGAAGAAAAATTGCATACTTTTGAATTTTGCCAATTGCTTTTCCTAGTTTTACAGCTGCCTGTTTGTCACAGTTTTGTTCATACACATTTTATAAATGGTGTTATTAGTTCAAAATATTTTTTTTTATAAAAAAGCAATCTTCAACTCCGAAAATTTAGTAAAACTTATTGCGAAAAAACACGATCTGCTGGCAACGCTTTTTACGCTTGAGTAAAAAAACTATGTTTTATAAAACTATAGCTACCGGGTGTTTCAAAACAACTGCGAAAGCTTGAACAGCTGATTTGTTGCAAATAAACGGCACTTTTACATCAAACGTTAGGTCACAAATCGCACTTTAGGGAGATCTCGCGTTGCGTTATCTCTTATATCTTCCGCATTGAAAAACTTCCATCTAATTACCATTTAATCAAGCAACATTGGAACCATCCTGAAATCGGCAGGAGTCTAGTTTAATTATTGTATTCAATCAGTCAATTTTATCAAAAAAACTTAACAAAGAAAACGTTTCTAAATGAAGCAATTTGATTAGGTACCTTCAAAGTCTTTAAGGATGTTTTTCAACTTAGGAAGTGTGGTTTCCAAACTGTACCTACATAAGTTTTCAGAGCTTTTAATTAAAAAAAAATGTTTTTGAAAGGCTTTAACGGTATTTGAGAACCGATGCCGACCTGGCAGCCGGAGTGATATCCCGTCATGCGTGAACATCCTGTACATTATCAACAGCTTTACCGGTTTCTGATGATGATGAGCCAACTCGATAGCAGGAAACATTGCGACGGACCGCAGATGTTCAATGACGACGGATATAGGGACTTATCCTTCGCGCTTTTAACATAAAACGGTTCCTATTAATGAGTTCCAGCGCGACACATCAGTCCGATATAAGGCAAATTAAACGTTTCGCAAAAATGTTAACAAATCCCATCACATAAGTGACTTTGCACGCTTGCTTTATTAACATTGATCGGCAGAGTACATTAAAACAACGTTCAAGTAACGAGGCGTTACTTTCATTTCTAAGCTCCTGCGAATTTCCATTTAGGAGCTGACTCACGGACGATGATGCAGAGTAAATTACTTAAACCGACTGACGACTGACTCATTGAAAGCCATTATAAAATTGCCTTCGAAGAATGTAGAGTCTCAAGCAATTTCTTTCTCTGATTTCGATTTTCTATCTTAGTTACGCAACAACCATGAAGGCCTAACTATACTTATGATGGCCAACTTGCAAAATGGTATACGCAGAATACCAATAGGCAGAAAAGTGTCTATTGTTTTCAAAGTAACAGCCTTTTTTTATTAGGCGGAACTCCAAGTTATTATTTTATAATTATGCAATTATTACTGAAAATTTATTGGCTGAAGTCAGTTCTGGCTGAACTTTTCAGAATATACTAGCAAAAATCTACCAAATTCCTTTGGCTTTAAAAGAGTCATTCTCGCACAAATGAATTGTTTCTTCTATATTGTATAAAAACTCCTATTTTCATTTCAATAAAACATGATTTTATGGAAATTCTACAATTCACAACGTGGTGGTCATTTACGCTGTTAATAAACATATTTTAGAGAAATAAACGTAGAATAAATTATGAGGCTGTTAAATGATTTTCCTTGATTAAAATCCCTGTATGCCATTGTATGCGCGCCTCCGAAATATTGGATTTGTACGGACTCTATCACTTAAAGTGAAGTTTACTTTGAACAAGTGTTTAAATCCTGCCTGAAAATTGTCGGAATCCCAGATTTTGTGGGCAGTTCTGATTTAAATCCCTTTCAATGCAACCCTGTATATTTAATTTTTTAGTCGACTATGAAGTTTTAGCTTCAATAGCATGAGCTCTAGATTTTGAAAATCGGGCAAAGATGAAAACGGTTATCATTACAACACCTAAAAGTTGATTTATTCAGATCACGTTCTAAATAAAAGCGATAGGGGGAAAATCGAAAACCGTTTCTCGATATGAGGTCTGTCTTTAATGCATTTGGTGTTAAGTTTAGTGAGTCAAAAAGTTTTTTGTTTAAGTGGGAGCATGCCCAACTTTCGCAAATTTTGCATTGTTTCATTTTTCACCCTGTAGATATTTTATCTGAAGTTCTTAATTTTTCGAAAGAACACAGACTGACAAAAGAATACTAGACTAGATAACGCTTCAAACTCACAGAAATCGTTTGCAGCAATAGGAGTTTATCCAGTTCCAAAATGATGGAAAAATTTAGCCGATTATCGTTTATTTTTCAGCAGTTTAAATTGAGATATTACAACGATAAATATTATAGAATATATAATTATATATAACGCTCTTTAGCATATAATTCTTAAGTAATATGCGTATACTCGTATTATCTGTTAATCAGATTTACTGTATCTTCAATAACGTCTGCCTTGATACTAAGCAGATCTATACACTTATCTATCCCTTAAAATTGCAAATAATAATCGGTTTGTAGATTTTCCACAAGCCGCCAATTGAAGAATGAATTATTGAAGAAGCCCAAAGGAAAATCTTTTGCTTTTATATAGAAATTTCCCTGACCATAATAGAGAGAGATTCATTCAAAAAAACAGTATTTTTCAATTTCAACTTGCGAGAGAGGATTTCTTCGGTAGTAAAAATTAATGCGATAACGACTTACTATCTTATCTAAGTACATTCATTGTGCAATCTATCACTTAGCAGTTTGAGCAATACGGTACATTGAAAATTATATTAAATAAATGAAAATTCAATAATCATGGATTTTTTGAATATGAGAATCGCCGACTGTGTGATAACCAGATCTCGATTTGTAAACATAGAAAAGCGTCCTGACTAAATTATATTTAAGAAATGTTGGGTATTTTTATTATTGTATGTATTTATATATGTATTACGGTTTGTTCTTTTTAATTCTCCTATTAGATTTTTTTTTACTTTTAGAAACTGTTTCTGAACCAATTTAATGTTTTTCAATTATAAAGTTAAAAAATAACAAAACACTAAAAAAGTGTCACTTCCAAACGATTTCTATGTTCTTAGGTGTATAGGCGTTGCTACATTCTTAATTGAAACTAAATTCATTATTGTTTTAGTAGTTCAAAAGGATTTTTTATTAAGTTCCTCTGATATATGTTTTTTCTGCTTTATTTGCTATAGCCAATGTTTTATTGCGACCGAAAGATTAACGGACAATAAAAAAGTGCCAAACATTTTTTGTGCTGTCCTTAAACAAATCCGTAGATTTCATACAATTATTTAATAATTGTTCTTTACTTGCAGGTATCAAAATGAGCTGCCAAAAAAAATTAAGTCTCGAGGGAAGGATGCACACATGATTCATGAGGAATTGGTTCAGACAATGAAATGGAAACAAATACGAGGCAAATTTTATCCCCAGCTTAGTTACTTAGTCAAAGTGAACACTCCCAGGATGGTCATACAGGAAACGAAAAAAGCCTTTAGGAAATTACCAAATTTGGAGCAGGCTATTACCGCTTTAGGGAATTTGAAGGGAGTTGGAACGACGATGGCGAGCGGTAAGTAAACATCAATATATTTTGTTGTGTGTAGAGTGGATAAATAATATCTTCAACCCTGTTCAAGAAAGCGATTAATTTTCAATAAATCATCTCATTTATTTCTTGTTGAGTAAACACACTTTTAGAGTATGTGGGATGTGGTTCAGAACGTTTAAAACCCAGAATTTCTAATAGTAAATCGACCTTCGGGTCGCAAGCATCTAAAAGCGACCAGAACCGCTCGTAGCGACGAGAGAGGCAAAAGGTGGCCCCTTGGTTGCACACCCAAGCAGCAAGGTGTTGCAGTCGAGGGCCGTTTGCGTAAGAACAGCCGCATTTCGATGGCTTACGAGTTTGGAAAATTAGAAGCTACAGAGAATCGTCTGGCTCGGAAAAAAATTAAAAATACAATAGTTTTTTTTATATTTTATCCATGATCTACTTGACTACAAAATCCAAAAGGAGGCGCTTGATTTACGTAAAAAACTACCTTTATGTGCACAACAAAGTGCAATTTACATCAATTTGTCGTTTTTACAGAACAACCTGTATATTTCAATATCGTTTCCCGTTTAATAAACGCTATGTTATTCGTACAAAATTCCCATTATGTTATTAATTCCGAAACACCAGTCGCAGTAAATCTAGAAACAGGCAAGTTTTATTAGTTGCTTCGTAATAGATGAATAATTATTTTAAATTAATAGGAAATTGTTTTTCATGCTCCATATAAATGTTTGATATAATAAAACACACATTGTTAACAATCCACATTTAAAAAAATGACAGAAAAATCCAGAATAAGTATGGTGCATACGTCTACATTTCGCAACTTGTTGAAAACACGCGATGTAGTTACCTTGCGTATACCAGATACCTACCTACCAATAGAAAGGTGGACCGACATATTAGAACTCTGAGCCAGCAATTTGCGTTGACGATGATGTGTTTACAATTATCATTATTATATGCTTGTATGAAGTCCAAACCATTAGCGCTCCCTTGTCGAATCTGCTTTATGGTTCGATCTATGGAAGAACGCATTCATAATATCGAATAAATCGTTTCTTCTAGCGCTGCTGGCTGCCGCATGTCCAGATTCCGCCCCGTTTATGGCCGACGAATGTTTGATGGCCATTCCGGACATTGAGGGCATCGATTACACCACCAAAGAGTACCTGAAGTTCGCGCAGCACATTGATTCAGTGTCGGAACGACTCAACACAGACGCCGAAAGGCTGGGCAGCTCTACTAGATGGTCACCGCATAAAGTGGAGTTGGCCATATGGACTCACTACGTTGTATCGGACTTGAAACCTGAGCTCTTAGATGGTTAGTAGCAATATACCTTACCGCACCAGCAATAGTCATACTTTAAATTTTATGTTTATTCATTGTTGCAGATGTTAAAATTGAAAATGGAACTAGCATCCCTCCAGCTCTAGTCGCGTTACATCAGAACGGTGATTCCTTGGATGCAGATGCCACTATTACCTCAGACGAAAGTAATTCAGCTAGTAAGTAATTGTATAAACATTTTGTTTTTGTATCAAAAAATGCATGCATAGATTGAATGATTCTCTATTTTTCTGGTTACTATTTGGTTCACAGTTTTATTTTTAAGATTTTGCAATCACGAATCAGAAAATTTTGTGGAAGACGTTTGTTTATCAGTTTTGATCGTATACTATCATTCCATTTTGAGCGAACGTTTTACTAAGGCCGATCTTTGTCAATACTAACAATTGTTTCAAGGGTTTTCACCGGTTTTTCGAAGTCTACAAATTTGAGCTGAGTCGGCATGTTTCTTGCTCTTCGTTTTTCTATCACTTGTAAAACGAAAATATTTTCAAGACACGATCTTCCAGTAGGAAAGCCACTTTGCTCGTCCTTATCCAGGACTTTTTCCTCGATTCTCTTCTTTAAAAATTTGCCGTACAACCTCCCTATTGCGCTAGCAACACTTATGCCTCTATAGTTCTTGGCATAATTTATTTATT